CACCTTTTCCTATCAATGTACCTTTCATTGATCAAGGTGCCTTGCCTTTTATGCATTCAAAATGAGAACTCATAGGACTCACATGCATAATTAACTCAATTGGAACAGCACAGAATCAAAATATTCTCAACACGACAGGTTGTCAACCTCAACTCTTGTGTTAGTGATGATCGATAAGGTTTATTTGATTTGTTCTTGAAACCTTTCCAGACCATTAAGACTCCCACTGACTCCCTGACATATAAGATTCTCTTGTCAATAAACATTTGTTGACAACCAAATATTCAAGAGTTAGTGTAGCTTTTATCAAAACACTTCATAAATTGGTCCTAGTTGGCCTTTGTCTTATCCAAGACATCACAACTTTCCAAATTTGATGAATGTTATAAACCTTTTTAATACTTGTCACTCATTGTCACAATCTTAACTCTAAGACTTTCTATTGGAACGAAGTATGATTGACCTTTTGATTTAACCATTTCTTCAATTCTTGATTCCTCTTCTTAAACATACAATTGTACTAAGACTCACTTAGAGGATCAATTGAGATATGGTTCTTAATCATTAAGATCTATCATAAAGCATAAAAGCTACTCTCCCTTCTTCTTAGAATGGAGAAACTTTTATTTTTCTACCTACTTGATTCTTCTTATTCGTTCTACTATTGATCTAAACTCTTTAATCAATTCAGAATTACACTTAATCCTGTAAGTATAATCATATTTACTAAACCTTTAGTAAATCATGACGAATATCTTTGTTACTCTTATGGTGAACTTGATCAACACACAACTTTGTGTACTCGATCTCCTAGTCCTTCACTTGACACTTTGTCAACGAATTTGTCTAATTTCCAAATATGAAATTTCTCATTCATCATGCAACCAAGTTGCGTGATTCCAAATTTCAGTCCAATTGAAATTTGGGCGATGAGAAACTCTCCCTATTTGGTAAATTCTCGACATTTCCATAAATAACATAACTAAGAATCATATCCATTCGTTGTAGAAATATGCAAACATCAATTTTCATAACGATTTCATTGCAAGGAAGTAAACAAATAAATAAATAAGTCAAACAAAATTTATTTTATTTATAAAAGCAGCGGAAAAACATTTGTCCTTACAATGCAAAATCTATTGAAAACTATGTAAAAGGAAAATTTCTAACAACTCTATCATAACTATCTAAGCTCAAAATCCAATCTTCAAGTCCATGCGATCAAGATCCATCTCTTGTGATTAGATTCATCTTGCTCTCTTATCAAGCTTCCTTTCTTTTCACCGATCCTTCAAAACATTCAAATGCAATCTTATCACATCATGTATTAAGAATCAATGAATAGGAACTTAACGGAGTTAGATAGTGGATTTTACCTGAAGTGTAGTCATACTTTTGACTCTCCCATCTCTTAGATCTCTTAGGTAAATAGGGCAACTTCGTCTCCAATGCCCCTTCTCTTGGCAATAAAAGCAAATTGACTCTTTTGGAACAACACATGGAACTACTTCAGACATCGCCTTTCTCTTATGATCAAACTTTTCGATCATTGCATGTCTTTCATTGCCATTGTCTATATCCATAGAGGTCTTGAAGGCAGATTCACCAATCAACTTTGCTTTTCTATTGCGCCAAACCATTGCTGATTCAGCAGCAATAAGCATATAGGTGAGATCAATAAGGGTCACGTCGTGGTTCATCATATAGTACTCTCTTACGAACTCACTATACGAGTTAGGAAGTGACTGAAGAACCCAATCAACAGCCATCTCTTCACCAACAACGGATCCCATCATTCTTAACCTATCAATGTGTGACTTCATCCCTAAGACGTGTGCACACACCGACTTTCCTTCTTTATGTTTACTTGCCAAAAGGGCTTGAGTGATATTGAACCTTTCAATTTTACAATCTTGTGGGTTAGGGAGAATAATTGGAGGAGGAGGAGGAAGTGAAGCATGATTTCTTGTTCCTCGATCGAATCGTGGAATATCATCTTCATGTGGAATGCTTGTTCCACGGGATTTGGGAAGACCATAGTTGTCGAACTTTGACATCTACAAAACGGGAGAAAACAAATTCAAGTTAGTTGATCGATTGAGTCCTTAGTAAATCACCCAAATGAGATACAAGGCTAGGACCCAACACAATACGCTACAACCTAGAAAAGGGATGCCGTAATCTAGTTGCAGAATATTTGAAGGTAAGTGAATGACGATTCACTAATTTCCACCATGAAAAACGAAAAAGAAATTTAAGTTTTAAATCTATGAAAACTCCTAGATCCTTTGAGATTCATTGAACATTTCAATGGCATGTTTAAATCTCGATATGCCCCTCTTGTTTGTGACTGGGATGCCGAGGATCACAAAGCGGGTGTGAATAACCATGCAAACTTACATGGTGCCCTCACATGTTACAATCACCTATTCGATGTGCCGGTAAACCACACACGCTCCACCGAACTATGACAAACATTGAGTCACCCTTTGCTACCTTTGCTTAGAACCATTTAGTGTGCCGGTAAACCACACACGCTCCACTAACGTCTTCGCAAGGGCACAAAGTGTAATTTCATGGAATTGCATCAATTCACTTTTGCCTAAGTAACTAAGATTGGGAATTTGAAAAACATTTAGTTACTTTGTATTTCATTATACTTATAATGGAAGGTTTCGTCCTATCCTACCCGTTCGGCTAACGACCCTCCACTAGTCAAGAGTGCGGTGGGTAAGAGTGGATACCCATTCAATCGCCATTTATAGGCAATTTCCTTAAACACCCCTTATAGACCAGCTTCGTGAATGAGGCCTACTAACGGTAAGACTGACTTTTACTCATACATATATATAATGTTAGACTTTTAATGTTATATATAGTATAGGGTGCATTTTACACTTTTAAAATACTATGTGGTTAACTTTAACAATTACACTTTTAATTCAATTAAATGGTTAACCTAAACTTTTATGGATTTATTAAATCTCTTTTAATTATACTCCTTAATTAATTAATAAAACCATAAGGGTGTATTTGAACTTTTCAAAACATTACTAGGGTTTTAGAATTTAACATTCCTAATTAACTTTTAATCAACTTTTAAATTCCAAAACTTGAGGGCAAGTTTTGAAACATTTTAAAATATTTGGGTTTAGAATTTAAATATACATCAAAATTAAACTATTTAATCAAAATTTAAATTCCAAAACTTGAGGGCAAGTTTTGAAACCTTTTTCAAAACATTAGGATTTCAACTATTTAAATTTCAAAACAACAAAACTTTTGGGTTCAAAGTTAAACTATAAAACCTAAAGGGCAAAATATGAAACTTTTCATAACAACAAGGATCAAATAACAAATAATTCAAATTAACATTTAATCACATAATTATCCATATTTGATTTATTTAATGATTTCTTGCAAAACAATTTATCAATTTAATCAAAATAATCAATCAATTATCACATAAGGAAACAAATATTTTATTAATTGATAATTATCTTTAATTAGATCAAGAATATAGTCATATATATCATAAAATCGGATTTATATTGATCTAATATGATAAGGTAACTATCCATAAGCAAAAACAGCAAGAAATCCCGGATATATCTCTGTCTGACGCTCGAACTCGCCGAGTACCACACTGTACTCACCGAGTTGAGGTCTACTCGCCGAGTACACTGTGGTACTCGCCAAGTTCCTCAGCCAGAAAGCCCAAAAATCGATTTTGCAAACATATCAAGCAACAATACAATAGAAACCAATCAAGGCTCTGATACCACTGATGGGTTTTGGTCATAAGACATCCTATGTGCTCATACAAACCCTAATGCTTGGATCTAGGTTTCTCTATTGTACATGCTTTGAATCCAAGACTATAAACCCTAATTCTAGCATGAAAGTAATCATATTAACATAAGAATGAGTTTATAATGTTACCTTGATTGTTATGTAGCAATAATAATCCCAATTCTTCCTTGAATTGACTTTGGAATGCTTAGAGTCACAAGTGTCACTCCTCTAATGGTTCACAAACACCATAAGCAAGAGGATGAAGAGGAGAGAGGTTGGAGGCTACCAAAACGTGTAGAAACCCTAACAAGAAGCTTAGCCACTTTTTTGAGCCTTAAGGGGTCTTTATATAGTTGGGCTATTAAGGTTATCTAACATGGAAACCCTAATATGGATGCTTAAGCCCTAAGCAATCCATAGACTCCTTTAATTAAGCCCATGGAAGATTTCCTTATGGGTTTCCCATTAGAATTCGTCCATCCCTTTATATAAGGCAATCCATGGCCCAAATTGCAATTATCTTATAATTACAATTCTAGTCCCTTAAGTTTAATTAATCTCTTTTAGTCACAAAACTAATTACTAATTAATTCTTGACTAATATTAATTAAATAAACTGATTTCTCCTTTAATATATTATTCTTATAACATATTAATAAATCGTAATAACCTCTCTCTCTTTATTTATTTCTCCAATCAAGTTGCTTTGGTGAAGGCAACCCAAAAGGACCATGCACCATCGGGTCAAGTACATACCAAAATAGTTATGGACTTAGACACTAATCCAACAGTTCCATTTTAAGTCTTGAGGTGTGGAAACTTTGTAGTATTCGGTATTTCGTAGTCTAAAAATTCTTTTGCAAAGGGTGATGTTACAATTCTTGACAAACAATTTTGGTTTGGGATCTTGAGGATGTGACTAGGGTGGAACTGTTGCATAATGAGATACAATTTCTCCAACATGTTTTTGTATGCTGAAAAAGGCGTTGGATTCGGTCCGTAGAAACTTTAGGGTTGAAACGGGATGATGAGCGGTGTATTCGTCAAGAATGGTTGTTGTGAATGGAGTTGCATGGAGGGTGGCAGCCTGTTCACCAACATTTTGGTTTACTAATAGGGGTGGTGTTTGTGTAAAGGTGAATGCTCCATCAGCGGTTGACACCACCGGCGACATCATGCTACTGAATATCGACGTCGCCTGGTAGATGTTATACGGAAAGGTTTGTGGTGGTGCGGTGAGAAAAGGCATCGATCCCTCCATTGTTGGCATCCAAAATCAGCTCACCAGAGTGCTAACCGTCATCAAACCACCAGACTGTGGTGTATTGGTTGTGATCGTCGTCGATGGGTGTGATGCAATAATGGTAGTGATTTCTGGCTCTAACGACATGATGGATCTGACTAGGCTTCTCGACGTTTTACTGGCCTCACCGGTGTCTTCTGTCATCGTCCTCAAGGTTGATGATGTGTGGTTGCGGATTGCTTGTGGTCACACACCAGATGGCACTAAATGATGCGACCTGGTCCTCCGGACTGTCTCGAATGGTAGTTCTGATCACGAAGAGATGACAAAATGGGTGCTATAGGAAGACCTGCGAGGTCACAATAAGAGACCATCAACCGTTCTCAGAGAGGAGCTCCCGAAGAATTTTCACTGATGGTCAAGTTAGTGGGTGAACTGAGAGTGTATAGTGAGGGCAAGGAGAGAAAAACTTACCGTTTGAGGTAGGGGAGGAGGCATTTTATACTGAGACCTCCTTGCCAGTCTGTATGGGGACAAGGTCGTCAAGTCCGATAAGATATGATGCCTTGATTAGTTAATCGTGATACTTCGTCGGGCGAGTGCGATACTTCGTCAAGTCTGAGGGTTGAGCCTTCTACGTGGTCACCCAGCTCTAGAGGGGAGACCGCGAGTGCGATACTTCATCGGGCGGCTGTGTTGAGACTAGCCTGACCTGCAGGCTTGCGCTGGGGCATCATCAGTGTGTCCTGAGCGCGACTTCTAGCACGTGCTCGGGCAAATTATATATATATATATATATATGATGTTACATAGTTATCCAAAGATGGATTGTAAACATGTTCACTGTTATTAGAAATATTAGATCAAAGTTGGTGGTGGGTTTTAGCGTTTCACGATTCATGTAGTATTTTTGGGTCAATGACTCCATAATTAAGGGGATCAGGCTGATGCAGGAGATAACGTAGTACCCTCATCTTGTTGTGTTATTTTGTTTAGTATAACACAAGTGTACATTGTGTCTCTTAATCTCTTCAACGGCATATATCATGCTTGTTGTTTTAATATGTACCAACATGATTTAAGGACTGCAAAATCACGTTCTATGTCATTTCTTGCTAATTCTTGTGTCATCTTAAATTGTTTTTATTGGATGTAGGTATAACTTCACAAATACAATCCAAGTTGGATATATTCCATCCACAAGATAGTAACGATGCTTGTAATGTCCGTTCTTTAGATTAAATGAGCACCTAGGTGTTCCATGATATTTATCGCCAAACATTGGTGATTGGTGGAGGGGTATCAAATCATTATTCGCACCAACTACACTATAGAATGCATGCCAAAACCATAAATCCTGTTATGTCACTACTTCTGGTATCATGGTTGGATACTCATGATCACCCTATGTATTAGCCTTTCAATTCCTTTGTGTAATTCCTTCTATTCCAATTGGTGTAGTAAGTGCTACCAAGCATTCTAGGGAATCTATGCCTGACTTCGTGTGCTTGGTACAAAAGTTGAATGTTAGTAGATGTTATACGACTCAAATATCTAGCCTTATACAATTGGTCAACATCATACCATAAGTTTTGAAGACTTTCACGTGAAGTTATTTCCGACATCTTCAGATACTCATGTACCGAGTCTATGTTGCTTCCATATGCTATTTCACTTAATGTTGAGGTGCATTTTTGTAGCGCACTTAAACTTCTTTGATGTCTTTCATCCCATGTTGTTTGATAAAAAAGGATAACTCATATTCAGTACAACAACAATAAGCATAAACAAGTATTTAATCATCCAGAACCTTTTATGAAATTGCTCGTTAGCAAAGGTTTATTTAGTAGCAAAATAATGTCAGACATGTGGTTGTGTTGAAAGTGACAATATTCTTAACAAGAGATTATCTAGTACAAGATAATTATGATAATAGATTAACATCGGTATGTTCATTGTCAGATGAAGCTGAACCATATGGATTTTCTTCCATTATTATTTTCCGGATATTTGGATTCATTTTGTTAAAAGGTGATTAATGGAATGAAATTATACTGAGAAAAACAATGGAGTTAAATGAGTTTGGAATGGAATTGAAGAATGTATGATTATTAAAGAAGATGAAGATGATTATTCAGTGGTGGGATCAGGAATTCATGAAGTAGTGACGCCAATCTTTTTTCAACTCAATATATACTAGTAGTTGCTAGGGGTGAACATGGTAAAGTAAAACAAAGAGTAAGGAAGGAGAATTGAACCTACAATCTCATAATTTTTTTCAAACCCGACACATTAGGTTAAAAAGTCAACGCACTAACCAATTGAACCACCTTATTTTTTTTTATTAATTCGCAAAATATATTTATATTAGTTGTTGCATCTTAATACACATTTTTTATATATATTTTTTACAATAAGTCGAAATTAAGTACTAGCTCAGGACTCCAGGAAAGCGCCCGGATCCACCTCTATGGTTCTTTATAATGGTATTTAAAAATAATCTTTTTGACAAGTCAAAAGTAAACAAAAGGAAGGGAAAATAAGCGGGTTGAGAAACATGCCAAACACAAAAGCCACGATACCCAGGAACGAAAATTTCATTCGGCCAGGTGGAGAACCCGGTTGACCCGTCCCAATCGAGGACGATATTCCCCTAAAAAACATGTAGCGGATATAGGGACAACGATCACCATTAGTTTGAAACCGGGGATGGGGATGGGTCCGAATATACCATTCCCCAACCCACCCCGTCACCATTAGTTTAAAATCGAGTCTTCTCCACTAAATATTACTTAATTTGTATTAGACCATCAGAGAGAGAGAGAGAGAGAGAGAGAGAGAGAGAGAGAGAGAGAGAGAGAGAGAGAGAGAGAGAGAGAGAGAGAGAGAGAGAGAGAGAGAGAGAGAGAGAGAGAGAGAGAGAGAGAGAGAGAGAGAGAGAGAGAGAGAGAGAGAGAGAGAGAGAGAGAGAGAGAGTTCGTATACAAAATTCCTCAATCGGGATGGGCCGGGGAAAAACCCAAAATATCAAGGGGAGAAGACTCAATTCCCGTATCCATCGGGGATGGGGATGAGAATATGGACGAGATTAGACACTCGGTGATGAGAACACGTATTGTCAACACCACCCCATCCCGTCGCGTCCCCATTTGCATCCCTAACGATACCTAATCATGACCGGCGTAATTGATGACTCATTGATAACAACGACACCACCACTTAACTTCCGGAAGCCGCGCGATCGATACCCTCCATCCCAATTAATAATAATAATAATAATAATAATAATAATAATAATAATAATAAATCATTGTTTTCTTGTGGAAGAGAAAGCAGCATGTAGAAAGCTCAGCCAGTTGGCGTTAGCAATGGTTTTGTCGGTGACACCCCACACTAAATCATCGATATACACATGCACACAGTTCTTATTTCAATAATTTAATGCAATAAAACTTAGACGAATACCTTGTGTTTCTTTTATAATACGTATGGCTTTTGTTATTGTTGTTACATTTTAATTGTCGTCATGTTTTTATTAAAAAAAAGTAAAAAAACAAAAAAGTAATTTGTCGGTTTATTATTCATGTGGAAAAGTGTTAGCATATCATTATAATAAAAATAAGTATACAACGTCATAACTTTAGGGTGAATATACTAAACATACATGTGTTGTCATGATAATCTCACCAGTACTGCAATATGCATATTTAGGTATGTTTTCGTTTTAGAGAACATCTTCTATATAAATAAAATTCATTGTCAATTCACGAACTTATTTATTATTTAAAATTGACATGTATGCTACAAAAATTTATAGCCACAATAAAAGATGCTAGAAGAAATGCAATTACTATGTGGGTAGAACAAGATATTGAACCTTAGCTCAAGCAATCCCATCCTTCTTTTTCTACAATGAATTAAAGGTTAATTTACACAATATTATGCTTGAATTGCTCCAAAAGAAAAGAATTTCCCACCATTGCATAATTCCAATTCTAGTTGTGTTTGTGTAACCTCTATTTAAATTGCAACATACATTCAACATAACATCATCTATGTTTTTTATTTTCTCAAACAATCAACCTAGTTAGAAATCAACCATGGGAACTCCCGAGTTAGGAGAAAAACAACAAAAGCAACAACTCGATCGTGAGATTCGAGACATGATGAATGAACTCACACATCGCCTTGCTCATCTCCATAAGAAACCCAATGAGAGAGGAGGTGGAAGCAACATCCATGATCATGAACAAGAGGAGGAGGATGTCAATGGTGGTTTTGGGATCATAACTATGGTTGGAAGCAATGAGGGAGCCACTATGAGAGGAGAGCTTGACTTGATGAGTATGGAGAATCATAAATTAGGTACAACACAACATAATGATGAGTCTTTTACCCCATTGACAACCTACCTTAATGGCAACTTCCAAGGTATCAACAATTCTATCATGGTTGGTGGTAGTTACTCTACCAATGATCCTGGGATCCATTTGGATGTTGATGAACATCACATGCAACATAAGGGGGAGCTTAGTTCACAAAAGTATGGAAAGAAAGGTAAGAAGAAGGCTTATTTTGGATCCTCTAAAAGTGAACATTCTAATTAATCATTATCTAAACTTCACACACATATACAAAGGATAATGTTTCTTGAACGTTTTTCTAATCTATATATTGAATTACTGACGAAAATGTTATACTTATACATAATGTTTAATCATTTTATTCGATTATTAATCTTTCTTTTTATGATTGTATGCAATTGCATTAGTATCTTAATAAAATAGTTACTATCTATAATAATCTTCTATTTTAAAAGGGAATTTCTTGTTAATCCATTTGGCAGCCAATCAAGTGCATTAATTTATTAATACTATACTGTCTATACTCTATACAATACAACGTTATTTTTTATGTTAACACTTTCTTTTATTTGGCGAAATAGCATTTATCTATAATCAAATAGTTGTAGTTTTTATAATTAAATAAATAGTTTGATATATAACAAATTAACAATAATTGAAAATTACAATCAACAAATTATACAAATTAAATTACACCGTCGCCGACTTTACTTTGCATCTTCAATTCCACCGACATCCAACCACATCGGAGAACAGTGCACCACCGGAACTGACATGATCATTCATATTTCATTCCTTTCCACCGGAGTATCACCATTGCTGTCATCATCGTTCCTTTCCTTATCTTACCTTGTCTATGATCTAAACAAAAAAATGAATTTGATACAACAACATAATCGGAGCAACT